CGCAGGCGGGAGGAGGGAGCGCGGAGGAGGGAGGCCGGGAGGAAGGAGGGAGCGCGGCAGGCAGGCGGAGGGAGGGCTGATTAGCATGCAGCAGCGCTCGCGCGCCCGGCTCCATTGTTTTAACACCTCCCCTCTCCTCCGCGCCAATCTGTCACCGTTCAGCAGGCGAACGCTGCTGCCTCAAATGCTGCTCTTCTCAAATGAGACGGATAATTAGTTGCCCCGCACGAATGCCGCACTCTTCTCACCCCTGATTGCTATCACCTTCTTGCTCCTGGCAGTTTTGACACCTCGTAATCAGCCTGCTGCTTTTCTCTTTTCTTCCCGACTTCTGCTTCCCTCCCCCCGCTTTCCTTCCTAGTTTATTTATTTATTTATTTATTATTATTTTAAATGCAATCCCGGTGCCTATTTGGGCGAGTCCTCCGCCGAGTTAACCTTCCGCGTATACATGTGTGCATTTATCTGTATATGGGAAATTGGGTGCCTGTGCGTGAGCGGGGGGGGCGGGCTGGCAGTTTTGCGGGAAACACTGCTTCCACGCCGAGAGAACTCGCTTCTCCTAAAGATATTTTTGGGAAGGGAGGAGTTGCGGAGAGGGACGGGAGGGGAGAGTTGGGGAGACCTCAATTAATGCTTTAAAGATCTCTTAGAAATTAACAAACTGGGGAGTCTTGGAATCTGCTGTCAGAAGCGTGTTTTCCCCTCTCTCCTCTAACAAGCACTGACAGTCTAATTACTGTAGCTACAAGCAGCTGTCGAGGCAGCAGCCGGGGAGAGGAGGCGCCACAGGCTGGGCGCACCCGGCCGGCCCCTGCGCCCAGCCGAACCGCCGAAGCGCGGCCCGACTTGGGGAGGATGGAGAGGGGCAAGGCCCGGCGCCGGAGAGCCCCGGCGAGCCAAAGGCGGGTCGGCGAGCCAAAGGCGGGTCTGCGAGCCGGCGGACACGCTTATTGTTTCCTAAACTCTTTACCTTGAAGGTTAAAAGATGTGAAGAAAGGAGGGGACGAAGAGTGGGAAGAAAATCTTATAAGCTTCCATCCACCCCTTTTCTACCTCCTCGAGCTCTCCCTCCCTCCGTGTTGGTAAAATAACCACGCAACCCGGGGCTGAGGGGGCGGGGTGAGCCAGGCTGGAGTGTAAGAAAGCAGATGTCCCCGCTGGCAGCAGCCTCAGCCTCCGGGGAAAGCTGCACCGGGGGGGCCCTCCCGAGGACATTCACCTCCCACTTCTCAGGCATCCCGCTCACAACTGCCTCGCCTCGGCGGGGGTGGTTTTTTCAGACTCGGCGTTTCGCGTGTGCAGCTTTTTTACCTGGGAGCTGTTCTTACCCGGCCACGCTTAGCAGATGCCAAAAGCCAGCAGCCCCTGCACGACTCAGTCAAGAGACAGAGGGAGAGACCTGGCGGGTGCCCACTCCACCTTTAGAGCGGTGGCCCGCGCTTCCTATGTAGAGCAGGGCGGGGGCTGCTCTCCAGGCCGCCTCTCCTGTGGCCCCAAAGTGTCTCTGTCCCTCACAACGTGGAGCTTAGGGTGCCGCTGGAACCCAAAAGAAAACCGAGTTTGCTAGTCCTGCTAAAAGTGGTGGGGGCGGGGAAAGGATGGGCCGGGGAGGAAGGTCAGTAGTACACTCTGAGTCACTTTCTGGGCCATAGACTTTCCTGTGGTTGTCAGCAAGCACTGAGTAGATGTCAACTGTGTTGAGAGGAAGTCTTCCCATCTAGAAAAGGACAGGGGAAAAAAAGAATCCCCTTTCATGAGATAGGTACAGTGGTACATTCTGGCTGGTACACGCTGGGAAGTTTTTATTTTTAATTTTGTGTGCGTGTGCGTGTGTGCGTGTGTGTGTGTGTGTGTGTGCGCGTGTGTGGAGAGGGGAGGCTGGGTGGGCGGGAGGTGGGGGAAGGGAAGAAACTTGGATAATTGTCTAGGCATTTCCATTCAGCCCTAGTGGCAATGAAAGAAAGATGTACATGCCTCAGAACCCTTCGCAGTGAATACCTAATAATTGCTGTCACCTTGGTGAGGAAGATGTCAATATGATGTGCTTGGCACCGGGAGAAGTCGAGGCACCACTCTCATTCTTCCACAAGTTAAGGTTCTTCACTGTGGCACAGAGGTCTGCTCAAATTCCCCCACCCCACACCCTCCAGTTTAAAGCACTTGCTTCAAGAAGGCTTAAATTTTTGAGGGTTGCAAATCAATGCTTACTTCATAAAATGGAAGCCATGCCTTAAACACTTTTAAGAATCAGGGGAAAAGAGACACCTAAAAGGCGAGAATCATAGGGAATAAAAATGAAAGGGAAGTCTCATTTTAAACAAATTTTGCAGCCTTCTGAATTTGGTATCCACTCTCTCAAATGTCTTTCAGTGGCTATCAATCAGGCTGCTAACAATAACAAATTTCTCAACAAGAATATGAACATTTCTAATCTAAGTTAACAAATATGGATAGTCCTTGTAGGGTTTTATATTTGCTCCCATTAAAAACAAATGTTTCTTTAGAAAGTTTAGTTTGAAAAATAATTCTAAAATTCAAAGTGATTCAGTAATTGTCAATAAATGCCACCAAATCTGGTCATCACCTTTCTACTAGGTTACTGAAAAGAAAACAAGAATTTTATAAACTTCCCTAAAAATGTGATTCCTTCCTTTTTTTTTTTTATATCAAGAACAAAGGACACACTACTGATCACAACATAAGTACCTCTTGATATTTAATTTCATCATGTAGCTATACATATAGTAAAATTAAAGCCATGTATATTATTTTAAAAATCTTAAGTGTTTAAATAATTCTACCACTTGTTTTATCACTGGACAAGAAATGTATTAGGTTTGATATTTACAAAGATGTTTATGTTGTCTGCTATTTTCTATTATAGGTTTATTTAAAGAATATCACCTATAGCATAAATAAATTTTTCAATAAAAACTGAGAAAACCCTAGAAACATTTGACATCACCAAATTCAACAGCTCTCACTAGAAATCCAAGCAATAAACTTAGATATTTGAAATAAACATAAATTATGATTATATAACTAAGTCACATATGTAATTTTGAATTATAGTAATAGCACTGTAAACATGAATACAAAGGATTGCAGTTTTATGCAGTTTTTTTTTTTTGTTTTTCTTCTTTTAGGCTTATTTCTCCTTGAAAGAATAGAATGATCTTTTAAAAAAATGAAAGAGTTATACAGTAAATGTAGAAAACAATTCAAATAGCTGTGAAACTAGATTTTCCTATAAATGATCTTGAATTTAGTTTACAATCAAGTATTTATAGTATTACAAACCCCAAATCATCACATAGAACTTGGTATGTCTGTTTTCAAATGTGTCTTAAGTCTCTCCATTGAAGTGTGAATTAAGATGCCGAAGGAAATCCCCTCTGGATGTAATGGATGGTGGGAAAACTGCTTGACAGAATTCACATACTCGAGGTATATGCAGTTCTGAGTCTGTGCCACTTAGTACCACCGAGTCACTGTCTTGATTAGGAAAGGGCTTCCAAATGGGCTGCAGGAAACAAACAAAAATATCTGTTACTTATGTTTAAATTCAAATAGCACTGGACTTCAAATTTGAATTTTTGAATGAGTTATGTATGAGCATATATATTTAATTCCCTAATATACAAGCAAATTACTTTTCCATGAAGTTAGCATGAGGACATGACTCAATTCTTGGTTTCATAAAAGGGACAACTAAACTTTGATTAAAAGTCACTTGGGACACACACTTATGCATTTTATCATATTTAAAAAGACTGCAGCTTTAGTATGCAATTTTTAATACCCAATGATCACAACGGGAGTAGTTTTGGAACAATAGTTAATACTCTGGTCTTTTAAATTAAATTCTATCTTTTATTTTTTACAATAAAAACCTTAACTTATAGGGGCTTTATTAATTACACAGTACACAAGACATGATGTGTGTGTGCACTGCGTCTTACTCAAAATCAATTTCACTATTGTTTATAAGCAAATACAGTGAATACATCATACATGAATCAGCATTATTTTGATTTTTAAAAAGAAAATTTTCCTTTTAAACTACTGAACAAATTTCACTGATCAGTTATCTTTTGTTTTTAAAAATGCAAATACTTAATCATTCAACAAAATCTAACACATGCAGTGTTTTGACTTCTTACTTTGCTTCTGTTATATAATAGGTAGTTTGGCCTTACTCATTCTTGTGGCTGAATAAAGTGAAACTTGTCAACAGTTGCCTGGTTAAAGAATTATGGCAAGTCATAATCTAATAGAACCACCTCCACTATAACCAGCACATAAATACCCTTTCATAACTGCATTTATTCTTTTTTTTTTTAAACTTCTAGAAGGACAAGAAATAGCATTTGGCTTAATAATAGCTACACAATAGATGTTTGTTAACTGGAAAATATTTCCCTGAATTGTGTAAAACAAATTATTTTTTAAAATTTCTTTCTTATGTGGACACAAGTAAATTACTCTGACACAGCTAAATTCTGGTATTTTAATCACCTCATAAAGTCAAATTTAAAAAGACCCCTTATCCTCCTATTACTAATATATTTTTAAAGTCACACAGCCTAGTCTAGCACCTGACAAGTGTTACTGTTATTTCCCCTAACTTCTTTCATTCTGGTTAACCAATCATTTACATAAACAGTATATTACCGATTGAAGCATTTGGGTTTCACGACATCACTGTCTTCTTATAAACAGTTTACTGGACAGCTGTGGACAATTGGTGTAAATATACAACGTCTGTCTAGGCACCCAGATACATTCAAATATCAGTATGGAGGACTTATAATAATGCTGACTCAATTCCTTTCCTAAGAAATGTCAATTTTATTACAAAAATAGTAATATTTAAAACAAATGTTATAAAATTTAAGGTAAAATAACTTTCTTTGGAAAAACTTCTTTGGTAAAAGTAGTAAAAACTGTGAGCATACAAGCAAAAATCTAGTTAGAGTTAACTTGATTCTAATTTTAATGTTTTCAGTTTTAAACAAAAAAGTACAAATCACTGTAATGGGAAATTGATATGGCCAGAAATAAAAGATTATTAAAGATAGTCCTTATTTATATAAAATAGCAAGAAATTAAATCAGAAGCAATTTAGCTTCTAAATTTGGTAAGCCAATCTTCTGCTCCCAATTTACCTATTAAGTCCATATTCATTTTTCTCTATTAAGAACTTTTAATTCAGATTTGATCTCTTCATAGAATTTAGTTGGGATCCCACTCACTGACTCAGCAAAGTAAAAAAGAAAATCACATAGAACAATAATAATCTGATACACTTTAGTCTTGGTTATGATAGCTGAATATATAAAATAGATGTTTAGTAGTAATGATTGATATAAAGTAAAATTTTTAAATATGCAGCCAAAAATTTCACTTCTCTTTGTTACTATCTACAAACAACTCAGGATTAAAAAAAATTATTATTATTATTATTATTATTTTGAGACAGGGTCTTACTCTGTCACCCAGGCTGAAGTGTGGTGGCACCATCACAGCTCACTGCAACCTCGAACTACCTAGCTCAAGCAATCCTCCCACCTCAGCTTCCCAAGTAGCTGGAGACAATAGGCGCATGCCACCACAACCAGCTACAAATATCTATATATCTATACGTATTTGTAGAGACAAGTTCTCACTGTGTTGCCCAGGCTGGTCTCAAATTCCTAGGCTCAGTCAATCCTGCCTCAGCCTCCCAAAGTGCTGGGATTATAGGCATGAACCACCATACCTGGCCCAACTCAGGAATTTTGTACTTATACTAGCTTGTATAATACTAGCTTTATTAATACAAATAAAATAGCTTAAAATGTTTTTTAAAAAAACTGACTTTAAGAAATATTCTTTCCATCCTAAACTGTAACATGGTCTTCAAAACAAACTAATTTCTTTGCTTTTTCTGCCAAAATATCAATTATCTAACCTTATGCCCCATGTCTTGTGACAACTCAACACTAATTCTCCTGAATTTTTTAAGCTGAATACTTTTCCATCAAGTTGTAATCACATACCAGCTGTTTCCCTTGCTGTAGTATAGAAAGCAAATGTACAATGCAGGGTGCCATCTACTGAAACATGAATGCACAGACTAGTAAAAGAACAAGCAAGACATATAATAGAGAAAAAAGTAACAAGCATTAGAACTGATGCACTTCACAGCTCCACAGGAATTCTACTTGCAATAAATGAAATTGTTTAATTTGTTTCATTTAGTAGCAACTATAACAGAGACTATGATGTGAAATAAAGTATAATGAACAAGAACCTAAGTGAGGTTATAATTAAAACTTATTGTCAGCCATGCCTAGTTTTTCCCACTACTAAAATATACCACAGCTTGACAACTGCCTTCTTTGCATGCTGATTTAAGTCTATAACCTATAAGTGTACTTAAAGCAAAAGGGTATTAACAACTTTAAAAAAAAAAATATCTCAAGGCAAAGAGAAATCAGACAAATGTTTGCAAGTTACATAGACATTTACATCAATCTATTTTCATAAGCTTCTGTTTTTTGTAAAAATTTTATAGTTTTCATTTGCTTTCAGACATTAAACTTTTTTTTTAACTAAAAGAATCATTCTGTGATGGAACTTGAATCTAAAAGGGAGGGCAGGAGTGGTTTGGGGGATATAAGTCTGTGAGATTTAGAAACATTAAATAAAATATCTGATATCATACACATGCAGAGACTATTTTAAAAATATACTAGGCTACATGTTCATTTCCAGATTAGCAACCAAAACCAAAACTAAACCCTACAGATCTACGTACTATATAACTGAGGATATAGTAGAAGTATTCATTGAAAGATAGTTCACTTATGTTGATAAATAGGAATGTAAGATGCAATTATTTACATAAGATCGTGAATTCTTATAAAGATGAATATGATATACACAAACTATTAAATAAAACAGCATTTGTTTCACACTATGAAATTTAATAATATTATTAATCCTGAGTAAACAAGCTTTGAATAAGGAACTAAGAAAGTGACACCACAATAGATACGGATAAGGCTTAACAGGAATTTTTAAATGACACAAATTCTAAGATACTTTACAATAGTTTTACCATATTCAGCTTTTCTAATTTCATGTCATTTATTATAGGACTTGTTTTTCTGAAACCCGTAACTTTGGCTAGACAGTAGTTTAAAAAGGATGTCAGATAACGTAAAAGAGATGCATATCTGTGCATGTATGGCAAAATGTGTGTTCACACATAATAATATATTTGTTAACGCAAAACAGTTACCTGCTGTGGTCCTCGGATAGCTTTTCCTGGGGAATCAAGTGAGGGAAAAGGTGCATCAGATGGGTCCAGAAGTGGGAAGGTATTTACATATAATGCATTATGGTCTCCAGGTGGCAAACACGCAGCTCTATCCAGAGTTGTCCTGATACAAGTGTTTACAAGATTTGAGGGCTTTGTTTTGTCAGTTGTTTTAAGGTTTTGTATAGCTGAAGCTATGGGGTCAATTCCCTGAATTTCAAATAAAGTTTCTTCTGTTTTAACAAAGTTCCCTGGGTTGTCTCTGAACTCCGTATTAAATTTCTCTTGGCACATTGCCTCAGACGTGGCAGGACTAAGGATGCCGGGTCTCTCTGGAGTGCTATGTAAGAAAGTCGAGTCATTGTCCATAGGTGGAAACTTGACATTGAATTTAGAAAGTGATTCAAAAGAGGTGTCTTCCTCATCTCTGCACAGTCCTCTTGGTGTGACACATGTGATGGATGGTGCACCTCTATTTATATCATCTTTAGCCTGAGGCTTAAACAGCGCCTCTTGTTTATCTGTTTTATCCGTACACTGTATAGGCACAGAGCACTGTGTCTCTGCAGGGAGAAGAACACAAAAGAGAAACAGTCACATTCAAATCATTAAAAAAAAAATCTGTTCAATCAGTTTTGGACAGATTATTATTATTTTTTCTATTGGTTTTTATAGCAAATGAAGACAACTGGGATTTTAAAATTTGCTACCATCTTACACAGAATATTAGCAGTCTCCAGCAGGTGAACTGAAACACAGCTTATTAGTTGCAATTTAACTACTTTGTCTTTTCCTAGGTCTTTTGCTGTAAGCTTTGCATCTTGTTCAGTTACACTGCTCCAAGCTTAAAAACATTTGCTTGTAGTGTATACATTTAAACATTTTTGTCAGTAACGGAAGCTGTAACTGTGTTTGCTTAGACAAATAAGTTGTTAAAAGGGAAAATCTTACTAGGTATATCTAAAATTAGGTCATTTATTATTGTCACTGTCTAACTAAGTATATCACTAATCAGTTTAGCCACTGTCTGCTGTCAATAATCCATGTGAAGACTGGTGGTTGCAGGAGTTGGGAAAAGGAAGACAGTGAAGGCAAAGGAAGGATGAAACATTGTGATGCATGTTAAGAAAACTGCGGATGAATAGATTATTTTCTCATCTTATATCTTTTTTTTTTAAAAAGACCTCTGTAAATAACAGGTAAATATCTGGTAGATGAAATAGCCTCTGTAGCTCATTTACCTAGAGCCACTTATCCAACAAATTCAGCTTTCTAGGACACAGTCAAAAGCTAGAAGGAAAGTAGAGCTTCTGAGGAGCCAGAATTAGAGCCACAAGGTTCATAGATACGTGAATTTTGTTCTTATTGTCATTTTAGATTTATTCTAACAAACCTGATGGTATTTCCCTAGCTCATAGCTGGTTTGAAACAAAAAATTAAAAGGGAATATGAGTTGCTAAAGGCAGACATAGATATCAACAGGAACTAAAAGCATAGGAAAAGACAGGAAAGACAAAAAAGCTGATACAAGAACTTAGAAAACACTACAGTCTAATACAGAGCTAATGAGTGCTCAATACAAAAAAACAATAATCAAAGTACTCTCCATCTTGATGATTCTGAGACACTAGAAAAAGCCAAATTAAACTCCACAATGTCCCTTAAAGAAGGCACTGAAGTTGGTAATGCATGTATTTTAAGGATTGTCATCGGCACTGCTGAACATTCACAAATGGAGACATTACCGATGATGCAAATTTAGGTAGACAGGGTATACAGAACACAAGGTATACAAAGTGTCTGTACAGGTTAGTAGGCACTTAACAAACGTCACTTCCTTTATATTCCTTTGGTCTTGGCAGTCTCATGACACCTCTCTGTCTTTTGCCAAAGCACATTCCAATGTAATATATTTTTTTCTGTTTGGATATGTGTAGTATAATGCAACCAACTTCTCTGGTTCATGTTGTTGTACACCTATTGCCTCTCTTTATACCTCTCTTCATACCATCCTTTCTTACTGGATTATTATAACAGCCTTTAAACTGCTTCCTTGCCTCTAAATTTGTCTCATATCCAATCTGTTGTCTTCATTGCAACTTCCCCTCCATCCCTCGTTCTCAGAGTAGTTTTTCTAAAATACTAATCTGACCACGTTACCTTCCTAATAAAATCTTTTGATGGCTCTACAAGGCCCTCAGATCTCAGAAAAGGCTTATTGACTGTTCATTACTGGCCCCTGGTCACCTCTCCATGCTCATCTTTCACTCCATACTCTGGCTATAATGAACTTCGTATAGTTCCCCAAAATAGCCACACTCTCTTGTCTTTGCACCTTTGCACATGCTGTGCAGACTGCCTGAAGTGTCCCCTCCCATCACTCTTTGCCCAACTCTTATTTGTCCTTCACATCTTGGCTTGGACATAAGTTTCTCTGGATGACTCTCCCATGACTCTTGGATGCCCTGAGGACTGAAACACTCTGTTATATAGTTATGCGTCGCTTAACGATGGCACGTTTTGAGAAATGTATTCTTAGGCAATTTTGTCATTGTGCAAACATCACAGAGTGTACTTACAGAAACCTAGACAGTATAGTCTACTACACACCTACACTATATGGTATAGCCTATTGTTCTTAGGCTACAAACCTATACAACATGTTACTGTACTGAATACTGTAGGTAACACAATGGTATCTATTTCAACACTGAAAAGGTACAGTAAAAATACGGCATAAAAGATAAAAAATGGGTACGCCTATATAGAGCACTTACCATGAATGGAATTTGCAGGACTAGAGGTTGCTCTGAGTCAGTGAGTGAATGGTGAGTGAATGTGAAGGCCTAGGCCTAGTATTATTGTACATCACTGTAGACTTTATGAACACTATACACTTTGGTTACGCTAAATTTACACACACACAAAAGTGTGATACAATGTAACAACAGCTACCTACAATGTCACTAGGGTGATATGAACTTTTTTTTTTTTTTTTTGAGACAGAGTCTTGCTCTGTCACCCAGGCTGGAGTGCAGTGGCACGATCTCGGCTCACTGCAACCTCCACCTCCCAGGTTCAAGTGATTCTCTTGCCTCAGCCTCCAGAGTAGCTGGGATTACGGACATGAGTCACCATGCCCGGCTAATTTTATATTTTCAGTAGAGACGGGGTTTCTCCATGTTGGTCAGGCTGGTCTCGAACTCCCAGCCTCAGGTGATCTGCCCAGCTCAGCCTCCCGAAGTGCTGGGATTATAGGCGTGAGCCACTGTGCCTGGACTGATATGAACTTTTAAGCCCCATTATAATCATATGGGGCCATGATTGTATATGCAATCTGTTGTTGACTGAAAATGTCATTTGGCATATGACTGTATTTCCAAGTATAACTCTCTTTCTCCCATTAAAGTAGGTTTTTTGAGGTCTTAAACTATGTTTTGTTTCCCTCTAACTCCAGACCTCTGCCCAGTGTCTGGCACGTAGTATGCCCCTAACAAACGAATTCTGAATGAATCTGTAATCTCTCCCTTACAGAGCCTACTATAATAATCAACATTTACCAGATATTCTGTGACTAGAAGTGCTATAGTAATTGTGACCAAGCTTAATTGTTTAGCTGGATTTCTTTAGCCTCTGAGGTTCTTAAAGTCCATTAACTCTCGAGTAGTCATTCTTCCTGGCAGTAGACTTGAAAGTGGCAGGAAAGTCAAGGAAACAGTACTGTCTTTGTAGATGACATTTGCTACTTGCAAATAACAAATCAGGAAAATCAATTGTTGAGGTAATCAGATTCTGTAACACCCGAAGAGGAGAGACTTATCAAATGATCTTCACAAGGAGAACAAGGTGAATGCTGAAGAATCTGCTACTGCTGCTAATGGCAATGACTATTAACATTAATAGCACTTCCACATGGCAAGCACTATTATAATAATTGTATGTACATTAATTCATATAATACTTAAAGTAATCCTGAGGTAGGCACTATTATTATCCCCACTTTACATGTGAAGCAACTGGTTGGAGAGGTTAATTCAAAGGCCACACAACTATAATAGTAAGTGGCAGATCTGCCACTGGAACCCAGGCGATCTAACTCTAGATTTGTGCTCTGAACCATTATGCTAAATTGAACATGTTGGTTTCTAGATATAGAGAGAAGTCCCCAAATTGACAGAAATGTGCTTTGAATTATTTTTCCAGCAGTTGATCTATCCCGGCTGTGAACAAAACGTGGAGAAATCAAACAGCTCTAAAAAAACAGATATTTTCTTTCAGCAAAGCTAGCTGGCATAAAACTCAGCCACATTAAAATAATCTGAGTTAATCTGCTCAAGCAGTGAGACTTATATCTATTAAAAAAATTTAAACCTTAGATTTCTAATGCTACTAGAAATCTAAGCTGAGACAACTTAAAACTCAAATGAGATGCATGAAAGCACTTGTCATCCTGACACCATATTGAGAAACATGATCAGGTGAGCAAATAGCTTTTCTATTTTGTCTATTTTAAGAATACTTAGTTTTGCAAGGAAAAAGTAAAATGGGAAACATTTTTAGATTTCCAAATTTTAAATATAGGCTATCCATTTAGTTACTTCCCAGTATAATTATTTTGTATATTGACAAAAGAAAAAGACCTCATGGTTTTTTGTCACCCTGCTCATGGATGTTTGTTACCCTTAATCCTATATTCTTCTTTCCTAATCTCTACTGAAATTGGACACTCCTTTATGAACCAAACAGTACTTTATTTGAAGCTATGGATAAACATACATTTTGTTTATCATTTCTCAAGTCTATTGCCATATGTAGATGAGTAGAAAAAACAAAGTAATAATAAAAAGGAAATGTAAAAATTCTACTAACTCAGTATTTTCAAATGAATCATCTGGTTATTTAAAAGCAAACATCAAACTTTAATACAAAATAACACAGGGACAATACACATACCTTTTCCCAGATATATTATGCAAATCATATTTGAAATAGTTCTTCTATATTTTTATACAGTATAGCATACATACTTGGAAACCATGAATAGGCATCTTTTCAAAAAATATTTTTTCCTTTCTCCTTTTGATATACTACTGTCAGAGCATAATATTTATTTTGGTTTCTCTTTGGACCCCAGCAAAACTTCACTAGAGTCTGTAGCACAAAATATTTTGAGAATAATATATTTATTATTTGTGACACTGTTAATATAAAGCATAAAAATAAAGCATCAGGAAGCAGTTTTAGTGGAGAAGAAATTGAAGTTAAACACTCAGTGTTCTAGTTGACAGATACATACTCAGATTTAGACCTGTGCAATTTAAAAATGGTCAAAGTATTAAGCCACTGATAATGAGGTAAGTTTTCTGTGTAACAAAGAATATATCACCATTACAATGCCTTGAAAAGATGTTGATGTTCAAAAAAGCATGTTTATGAATTCTAGGTACTACATCTCCATAGCTAGCATATTTTAAACAGAAATAATTCATTTACTTCAGAGGTACCTAGTGACTTTAGTCCATACAAAAGATCAATTTCTCATGAAAATGACAAAAATTCAGGTGAAGAAAAGAGTTGTTTTTGGGGAGGTGGGAGAAGGGAGAGAAAGAACCAAATTATATGTATCTACAAAGATTATTTTGCTTCTGTAATACCACATTGTGTAACTTTTCTGAATATAAAATGGTAGCAGTAGCAAAAAGTGAATTTACACTATAAAATTATTTTAAATAGCCTAGATGTAAGAGCTGCAAGAAATGGAAAGTGATCTTCAATTAAAGGGGTGTTAGTCAGCAAGACTACATCTCTCAGAGTAAAAACTGTAAATCACATCCCTTGGGAATTGTCTGCAGAATAGCTCAAATCACAAGGGTAAAGGAGAATTTATCATTATAAATGATCAGTTTACCTTCCTTTTGTTTGCAGAAGTGTTTGGTTGCCAGACCTAATCCCTTGTATTTTGCTATTCACATAGAACTACTGAAGCAAATACCAGGAAGCCAGTCTGGGGTTTTAGGAAAGGGTGGAGCATTTATAAAACATACTATAACACATGTGTAAAACAAACGTTCCTTCTAAGTTGTATTTTATACTAAATGTATATTTTGTGCATTAAACAGGACTAGCACTCAGGAAATTTGAGTGTCACATTTTTATTCTTGAACCAAATGAGTTCAAAGAATTCTTGAGCCCAGGAGTTCAAGGCTGCAGTGTACCATCACGCCTATGAATAGCCACTGTACTCCAGTCTGGACAACATAGCAAGATCCTGTGTTTAATTAAAAAAAAAAGGAAAAAAAAAAACAGGAAAAAAACATCTATCCATAGTGTATGTAATGAACTTTCAGGCAGAACTTACAAACAAACCTGATGTTATAATTTTACTTAGCTCATATAATATGGTAGTATGGCTTCAAGGTCGCTTATTCACATAAGAGTTAATGTTTAATAAGTCCCCCAAACAACAACTGAAAACTTTCAGGGATATAGTCAATATTTATTTTGTATTTTTTAAGGTGGGATTTCTCATTAAGATAATTAGTAATTATGTCTTTCAATTCAATCTATATAGTACCATATACAACAAAGAAAAAAAAACCAACAAATACATATGTAATGCACTACAGAACTTACACAGCATGTACACATTCAAATATATGTGGATGAGGGGTAAATTACAGATGCTACACAATTAATAGGCATTCAGGAATATTTTCACATTCAAAAAGAAATCAATTTCAATCAATCAAATCAATATTACTGTAAATTAAATTAAATCTTACCAGTTGCAGTGTCTGGTATATTAAGTTTGCTTAAGTGGTCTTTCTGTGCTTTTGCTAGCATGCATATTCTATGAAATTCTTCTTTCAGATCCCAGAAAGTCTTCTCTATACTACCCCTAAAAAATAAAAATCAACATTTTAAAATGTAAAGCTATAATTTCCAAGTTTTTTAAATAATCAAACTTATGTAGTACCATTTTATGTGCCACAAAATATTTAAAAGTTAAAAAAAAAAATTTAATTCCTAGACAATATCCCAAAAACCAGCTTGTGTTTGTAGAGGGCCAGGCACAAAGTAAGTGATAAATTAAAAGTTTTAATACATAAATATAGTATAGTCTAGCATATCTACTTATTCATATATACACTAATGCTGGCTGTCTTATTCTCACATTAGAAATTTCAATGCATTGACTTTTGTTCTCTGCAAACATCTTAAATAGAATATTAAATATTCCTCATTTTGGTAAAGTTCACATTAGGATCCATCCATATAAAGAAATATGGCCTTAACACTTGGTTTATTGAAATAGTAGAGCTTTAGAGAATTCAAGTTTTAGATCCAGCTCTGCTATTAACTGCATGACTTGTTTAGGTCATTTTTAACATGTAGGACTCTGGGGATGGTTACTTCCACTTATTCTAAAAGGCTATTTTTTTGCAATTGTTAAAGCTTAAAAATATATATATAAAATATATTTCAGTATTGAAAATTTTTAAGAGTTGGCAAAAAAAAGGATGTAGAACTACCTTTCATGGAGCAAAGGACTCCCAAGACTCCTTGCTGAAGTTTCCTTTCTAGGAGAAGAAACCTCTTGTCTTCTTACCTTAAAGATACAAAATGATTACTATTACTACTTTAAATTGCTTCCAAATTCAAATGAGATCGAGTAAAAAGAAAACACAAAGGAAAATTTATTTACCTTCCCTATTGAAAAATACCTTGAGACAGCTTATAGACCTATATGTAATATACAATTGATTTTTTTCTTTAAATAAGAAAAATCAATGAAAAAGGAAAATGAAGAAGGAAAGTCTGAAGAGATGAAATATTTCTGGCAACTTCAATTACTATTTCCAGTACTGGTAATTTAAGAAATTTCTCAAATTCAACTATTGATCAGAATTGCTGCTCTGTTCACCAAGCACTTCATATGCCCAGAAACTTAGGGGGAAATAAAATGTATGTGTTTACTTCTTTTGATATTCAGTAAAAATGGCCTATATATTTAAATTAATGTGTTTGTCTTGTGTTATAGATTCTTTGCTGAAGAATGCAGCTGTATTAAAGGAAGAAAGAAAACCAAGCTACAGCTCCTTATAATTCAACAAGCATTTAAAAGGTTTATAAAATGGTGCAATTATGTATTTAAGCTGCTTCAACACAAGTTCTTGCCTTTCACTCCCACCCTGTGGCTTACACTGGTATTACATCTATTCTGACATTTAAAAATCAACATTAAAGAACATGTTGTAATAATGTATTCTATGGCTTAAATATTTAAAAAATTTTACACCATACCTAGAAAGTGTTGTGTACTTTCTAAAGCTTATAAACTGACAAGTCCAGAGATCTGAAGAATCCTAATACCGAATCATAAGTTATAATTCATCCAAAATTGTATAGTTCTTAAATTTCAAATCCAAACCAGTGGATATCTATCTTTAGTGACATTTAGATTTTATTTAATTAAGGTCATTGTAGCTATTATAAATGGAAGACTTTACTTCATTGTGTCTTATCACTTAAGTACCTCACTCTTGCTTTTCAAAATATTTCTTTCAATTTCTTCAGTCTTATTTGTTCTCTAAGACAAAGACTTGATTTCAGTTTGTTTTTCTTAAAATTAATATCTTCTTCAATTTATTTCCCAGTTTTTTCTAAATAAATACTTTAAATATATATAGAGTATTATTTTTATAGTATCTCAAAATTAGTAAAATAAAATCTTGCCAATACAAACAATTTGTGATTTTATACATTATATTGTCAGGCCAAAATAAAATAAAGATTATTTTGTTGCTGCGTATCATGTGTTTGACAAACATTCAGGTCATATATTCTTCTGGATTAAAACTGCTGTACTGAGCTTTATAATGCAGTCACATCAGAAGATATTTTCACATTCACAGTTTTTTTTTTAAAGTGGTAGACAAGGTTTTTCTATGGTGTTTTGTGCAGTAAGAACACTCAATGGATTTTAGTGTGGACTAGGAAGAAAGGCAACATTTTACAGCTAGCCAGCCAGTCAGAACACCACAAATATGAAACAAACTTTTCAAAGATTTTATCATTAAGTCTATATCAACAAAATCAGAGAAGAGGTATATTAGGAGAATACTTGGCCTGGCACGGTGGCTCATGCCTGTAATCCCAGCACTTTGGGAGACTGAGGTGGGTGGATCACGAGGTCAGGAGATTGAGACTATCCTGGCTAACATGGTGGAACCCCGTCTCTACTAAAAATACACAAAATTAGCCAGGCGTGGTGGCAGGTGCCTGTAGCCCCAGCTACTCAGGAGGCTGAGGCAGGAGAATGGCATGAACCTGGGAGGTGGAGCTTGCAGTGAGCTGAGATGCGTCACTGCACTCCAGCCTGGGCAACAGAGTGAGACTGTCTCAGAAAAGAAGAAGAGGAAAGAATACTTGTATTTGACAATTTAATATGGTCAAACAAACCATAAAATAAGTGATTAAATAGAATGACCTCCTTATAGTGAGCCAAGATTGTACCACTGCACTCCAGTCTGGGCGACATAGCAAGACTCTGTCTCAAAAAAAAAAAAAAAAAAAAAAAAAAAAGAGTAATGCTCTGTAGTTTTAGGCTAAAACTGGAGATAGTTACAGAAAGTGGTAAAGATAGTGCTCTAAATTCCAAAGTCCTGACTTTGACATAAACTAGGACTGATTGCTTCTGAGATTAAAGAAGTATTAAAAACTAATGGGGATGAAGAGGACTGAAGGAAAAGATAAGAAAAAAATGGCAAACCTTTGTCTCACTTGGTAAATAATTGATGCTAAATTCTGTGATGTTTAGATTTGATAACTAATGTGGGTGAATTTATCAAGAAAAGATTCCTTGGGTGTATTGGCAGGAGGTGAAGGAGGACTCCTTAAGGAATTCCTATTAAGTATCTAAACTAAGGTCTCCAGCTTCTTTGGGGTTAGAAACACAGCTCTGCTTACTATTATTTTTGTTTTTATTGTTATTGAAAAAAAGTATTAGTGGTTGTACTAGGCAATACACTGCACCTTTTATCATTCACGCCAAATAAACCTGTTAATATATTTCAAATGAAAATTCTGAGTTCCCAGTACCCAAGAAAAATTTTCAGAAAGGGACCTCTTAAAATGTTGCTTGGAAAAAAAAAAAAAAAAGCTAAACAGTTTTCTGACAGACATTTTGAAGTTGGGTTTATTTAGAATGGGGCATAACATGTTAATGCTATTTTCCATTATAGCAGTCTGATACAACTTTCTGAAAACAATCATTAATTTTTCAAAGGATTTAGGATTAGTATAATCAATGGCAACTTCAACACTTTCCCAGAAACTCAGACTTTTTCAGTGCATGATCTTAATAAAGATTAATCAGTTTGCTGAGCATCTCAGAGAGTAAGGATAACTTGTATTTTTCTTTCGATTCTCAAATATAATCCAAGTGGGCTCTGTACTGCAGGAAGACGAAGTTATAACTTCAAATAAGAAAGCAAGGGAATTTTGAACATTATATTTTAGGAGATTTTAAGCATTAAATCATTCAAAAAATGAATTTATTTTGAGGTACTAAAACTTAAAATACTTAACATCATAAACTGTTCCAAGTACTAGTTTGGAAATGCTGAACTTGTGGAATGAATGCTGAAATAAGAGTTTTACACATCATACTTTTCATATACACTTCCAGTATGTCGCTGGGTAAGTCATTCAACTAAATCCATTAAGATAAACACATCTGAAACAGTTGGAAGATGTAAAATGTTTCCTTAAATTTCTTATGTGAATTGGGAGAATTTTGATTTAGTGTAAGTCAATTTAAGCTTCTCATAGATGGGTATTATATCAAAAATATATGTTCGGGGACAGTTGAATATGCAGTGATATTTAAGAAGGAGAAAAAAAGTGGTTAATATTTCATTAGTCCAAACCAGGCTTTATTCTTGATGCAAAAATAATGAAAAATGTTTTTGTTTCGCATTCTAGGATATGTTAGATATCAACCTCTCAAAGAAATGTACGTTTTCCTTAACACCTGCTTTTGTTACAGTTGATACTAAAAGTGAAATTATTTTATTCCTTTTATTAAAAATTGGAAAGATAGAAAAGAAATAAAAATTGTCATTCAAAACCATATTTTTTTCTTAAAAATTTTAAGCAATTAAAGTCAGTAAAATAAAGTTGAGTTATGGAATTTTTTTTTTCTTTTTTTGAGACAGAGTCTCGCTTTTGTTGCCCTGGCTGGAGTGCAGTGGCATGATCTTGGCTCACTGCAACCTCCATCTTCTGGGTTCAAGCGATTCTCCTGCCTCAGCCTCCCAAGTAGCTGAGATTACAGGAGCCTGCCACCATGCCTGGGTAATTTTTGTATATTTAGTAGAGACAGGATTTTGGCATGTTGGTCAGACTGGTTTCAAACTCCTGACCTCAGGTGATCTGCCCGCCTCAGCCTCCGAAAGTGCTGGGATTACAGGCGTGAGTCACCGCACCCAGCTGAGTTATGGAATTTTTAAAGATAATTCTGACTAAACTCTTTAACAAGATGTATATTCTCTCATATGTATGTAAGAAACCCAAACTTTAAAAGGCTTCTATTAAGTGAAGAAGGTAAGTTTTCAATGATACATATTTCACTTTACTCCAGTGTTCATATCAAAGACTTCCTTTAAACTTTAGTTAGGATCCTTGCATGCAAAGGAATATTTATTTTTAGCTAGCTCAGGCAACTGAGTGTAGTCAATGTTTTATTTCTTTTCTGGATGAGGCTAAATAGAAATACGCTTTTTAAGCAGAAACAAGAATCCTTACTTGGATCAATATAAACTAAGAAATAAGCCAAGGTGGGATGGGATGGATTGGTAGAGGGAATATAAAACTATGGAATAGGTATAAATGTTAGCTTGATAAAATTCACTACAGAAAAAGGAAAAGTACGTAGTAGGAAAAAAACTGAAAATAAAGATTCATTTGTCACTTAGATTTTTGAGATCTAAGAATGAAATGTTAAAGGAGGAACTGAGGTTGAGTATTTCATTACCAGTTTACATATACTGTGACAAAAGATGTTATGGTGAAGTCAAGCACTGGATACAGCTGAATTAGGGAGAAAGTAAAAAAAGGGCGGAGACAGAAAAAGATTAAGGTATAAAACAGGACCAGAAAAAAATTACAAAAAGATATTTGATAAGAATAAACATAAAAGAATAGTAACATAAAAGTTTGAAGACAAACGCTAAAAAAAAATATTGTATTTAATCTAAAAGAACTTATAGCCATATAAAATCTATGGTTCTCTCACCCTCATTAACATTCCTGAAAATCTAGCAAAGCAAGAGAAACACAAATCCTAGGAGCCTTGTCTGTTCTGTGTGATACAGTGTGCTAGGCAAACCCACTGCCAGTGTGGGAACAACTCCAGGGCAAAATGGGATCCATCCCAGAGTTCTGAAGGAAGTGGCAAGAAAATAAACAATATAAAAATAAAATTAAACACCCTAATTACTTCCAAGTTCTTTATTGGGTTGTGGTTTAACACAACCCATCCCCACAATCTCTACTGATTCAATGCTACAATAAAACATATTGTTTCAGAAAAGGTAAAATCCTTTACCAGTACTGCCACAATTACTGTAATTTCAATTCTATCCAAGTTAATTTGTAGAATGAGATGAATACTTTTCTACTATCTGTCTTCTAAGTCTTTCACTTTGTATTAGGTACCTTTTGCATATATCTTTCTGAATTTGTTTTTTTAAAGGGAAGAAATATTTGTGGAGATGCTTTTTTAATGCAAAACGGAAACTGCATAACTTCAGTGACCAATTTAATCAAGATTTCTCACACTCCTTTCACTCTTTCCCCAAATACTACATTTAAAACGAACTGATCCGTGCTGCGCATGGTGGCATGCTCCTGTAATCCCAACTACTAGGGAGGTTGAGAGGGAGGAGTTTGAGACCAGCCTGGGCAACACAGCAAGAACCCGTCTCAAAAAAGAAAAAATCAACTGATTTGGAAAAATCCTTTAACCACAAATTTAGTGTTATACCACTACACCATGAAGGACAGAAGCGATCTTCTTGAAAATAGCTATTATTTAAGCAATTTGCATGTATTACTTATTTAACTTAAATCACAAAATCTGCTTATTTTGAGATGGAGGTCTTGCAACGTTGAGCAGACTAGAGTCAAATTTCTGGACTCAAGCAGTCTTCCTGCTGCAGCCTCCAAAGTAGCTAGGACTACAGGTGCATGCCACTGCACCTGGCAAGCCACAAAATCTTCTGAATTCTGTACTTATGATTTTAAAATTTGCTTTGAAGAGATCAAATAATTTGTATATAGTTTGGCAGACGGAGTAGCTGTGACTGGAACACAAGCCTTTCTGCCCCAGTAGCTTTAACTACTTAGCCATAATGCTTGGCTGCTGGAGAAGCTAAGTGGTACAGTTATCCAGCATAGGGCTGGAGATAAAGAATGGTTACATTTACATATTGCACCAAGGCAAACTAATTTTAAGATTCTAAAATCTTCCTGTCATACAATAAAAATATATATATTTATCACTGAGAAGCAGTTACAGGCCACGTTTTGATGCTTAAATATTGCCCAGGGTGGGAGGGGAAACCTTTGGTATAGCCTTTTTTTTGCTGTGTTCTCAAGGATGTATCATACAAATAGAAATGTACATCCATAAATAACTTAAGATAGATTTACTCAAGTTTTGCCAAACGAGTCACTTGTTAACATAGGCAATTTGGCAGTACTTTCTTTGACAAAATTTCATAGTATTTCTCAAACTTGGCATA